TGTGAAATTCAAAGAATATTCCTTGACACTCATGTTTTCTTGACTAAGGTTGATGAATTAAAGTACCTTTGCCTCCCTTATTTCAAGGGAAAAGAACCTATCAAGGAAAGAAACCTTACACTTTTTCCAATTAAGAGGACCCGTATTAGCCGCCATCTTTTCCTTCCATTTGTTGAACCAAACTTGAGAAACACCCTTGAGTTGGTAAGTGGCCAGTTCCGACTTTTCCACTGGCGTCACTCCTATGATGATCAACACCTTATACACTTCATCAATGAACTCTTGAGGATCTTCCTCAACCTTGGAACCATGAAACTCTGGAGGATTCATTGTGGTGAAGTCCCTCACTTTAGTTCCCGCCGTACTGATATTTGGGTTCACGGGGACCACTGCCTCCCTATTGCCTTGAGCCAACACTTGAAAAGCAGACCTAAACTCCACATTAGTCACTTGTTCGACCAAAGGGTCGAGTGGAATTTGAGGAGCTTTAGGAGGAGCTTCTCATTCCACATTCTCATTCGCATTCGTCCTAACGTAAGCTCTTCGAGGGGACATATCCTGAAAAGCATCGAATCGGGATTAGGAGAAAGGCTATATAGAGTTACACTTTATCGCACGACTTAAATTAATGAAAGAAGTGGAGTTTCCTATTAATCTTATAGTTTATTATTCATAAATGTGGCGCGTTTCACACTCATGAAAAAGACTCTACTCGATGGTGGCTTATGAGACATCCTAAGACCTTTCTAGACCTTGTGCTCTAATACCAAGTTTGTCACAACCCAAAGTACACCCTAGACGTGACATGGCATATAGGACCCCGAGAGGTCCTACACAAGCCACTTAGTATACATCATACAAGATAATAGAATTTAAGAGTTCAGAAGACAGTTTATATTATAAAGTGTTTGACACGAAAATGAAGCGGAAAATATAACATATATAGTCTCAAATTCATCTAGTACATCAAGAGTGATTGGGACCTAATCCATGCATCGCATACAATACGGAAAAGTAAAGATAACAAGAAATAAAGGTTTTGGTCCTCGGAACATGAGGACTCATCAATCTTCAAATCTACTAATGTGATCACTAGCCACAGAGATGTGGAATAGGAGCGTCGGACCCTATATTTGTGAAATAATGTAGGATAAAGTATGCGTTAGTAAAAATAGTGTACCAAATATGATAGCAATTAATAAAAGGTATGAAATCATGCTAAAAAGAACTTTACATGACATGTAATGACCAAGCTAAATTAGGGGAAAAAGGGTTCGAAAACATAAATCATAAGACATAGTCAGTGCAAGCTAACATCTTTAAAACACTCGTGAGATACTTCTAGAAGTAACCTTATTTCATTATTGTGGGAGATTTACCTTTAACCGACATAGAGACCATGTGAGCTATAACACAGAATCCAGTGTCTACCCCACACCGAAAAGGGTTGTCCTACTTGCCAAAGTAAGAACCATGAACTTTTAGCTTATGTGGATCCACTAGCTAATGCATATCTAAGATAATTATCCTATGGGGGCACATATCTATGGGATAAGGAGATTGCTACTAGAAACCCGACCTCTAGCTACGGGAGAGCTTCCATCTCAATATCCTCTCGATGAGGTGACTTGGGAGATGAAGTTCGACATGCGTGCCAGATATGCTCATATTTCAAAAGCTTCAAGTACTTTACTTTTCTTTATATTTGAGGAGGAAATGGTTTTCAGATGTTGATAATGCAATGACTTGGTTGGTAATTTTTGGAAATCTTTGTAAAATTACTTTTTTACCCCTCTCGATATTAACCACGAGTCATGTATGATTAGGTGTTTGAAAGTTGGTTTCAAAATTTGAATAAAGAGTTGAAAGTTTTGTAAGTTTTGATTTAGAGTTGGTCCAAGAGAATTGTCGATTTCAGATTTGAAGTCCTTTTGAGGATTTGATGTCCTAAGTTGGAAAATCATGGAATTTTAGCCTTTGGGTTAATTTTGATCAACATTCAGGTTCGGATGCTCGGACAAATATTTGGAGAGTTTTGTTGTATTTGGGGGATGATTTTAGACCTACGTAAGGTCTTGGTTGAATTTTTAAAAGTCCCAAGCTTGCTTTAACCTCTTTAGACGTTATGTTCATTTCTTGTGACTTTTATGAGTTTCAAGTCAAGGAGACCTCATATTTGTGTTTCAAAGGTTCCATTGTGTCTAGAACATCTAGTTTAGTCCATTTGCACATATGATTTGTGTGTGCAGGGTTCCAAAAAAATCCTGAGGGTTTTTCGCTGATTTTTGTGTTGGCTAATGCTTCATGTTCTGAATTGTCGCATTTGCGGAGGGCCTTCGCTTTAGTGAAGGCCAACTCAAAAGGGCAAGACTGACCTTTTGGGTGGGGTTTGCATAAGCGTACCAGGGCTCACTTTAGCGATGATTGATCAAGTGGAGCCCGATTCGCAAAAACAAGACCCCTAGTTTTCTTGGGGTGCGCTTAAGCAAACCTGGGTCACTTTTGCAACATATGAGGGGCGTTTTGACCTGTAAACTTTTGGGTTTCAGCCTCATTTTTAATTTTTGAGCTTGGCAAGAACCTTGGAGGTGATTTTAAAGAGATTTCTTGTGCTAAATCTTTTGTGTAAGCTTTTGTGACCTTAGAACATCATTTCCCTCAGATTATATATGGATTTTAACATCAAAACTTGGGAATTTGATTAGAAAATGTCAAGGTTTCACAAGAACTTAAGTTTTAAACTGAAGTGGCGATTGTGAACTGATTTTTATCCCTTTTCCGAAATGGTTTTTACCAATTAGTTTCAAATGCCTTGGGTAATGTTTTCCAGTAAGAATTTTCAAATTCAAACCTCATTTCTAGGATTGGGATTTTGAGTTGAATGACCCATTTTTTCAAATGTATGATTAGGGATTGTTGTTTCCAAAGTCTTATTGTGATTGCTTGATCGAACGAGATTATAGGACATTCGATAGAATTCGGAAGAAGAAGACTAGAGTCTTGGATTGACTTATTGATTGAATTAAGGCAAATGACCTTTTAAACTTTGTACTTTAGTAGAATTCTTGTATTACCTTCATTCAGTATGTGTTGGAGGACATCTCTAAGCTTGCATTATTGATTTTGGTGCTAGATTTGATTAGCATATTCCCTTAGCGGTGTTTTCCTACAACAACAGTTATCATTCAAGTATTTAACTGGCCCCATTTGAGTCGTTGTATGACATATAGTGTAGATCTTTGATTGGGTGGTTTGATTCATTTGAGATGGACTCTTTTGATACAGACTTGCTTAGAGATGCTATGAAGCAGGTTTGTATGATTCAGGACAGACTATTGACAACCCAGAGTTGACAGAAGAGTTAAGCTGACCAGAGAGTTTGAGCCATAGTGTTTATAGAGGGAGATCATCTTTGGCGCCGGGTGCCACCCATGAAGGGTGTGATGAGGTTCATAAAGAAGGTTTATTTGTGCACTGAGGATATATATATATATATATATATATATATATATATATATATATATATATATATATATATATATATATATATATATATATATATATATATATATATATATATATATATATATATATATATATATATATATATTGCCACATGAAAATAGGTATGAAATTTCTTTCTAACCATACACCTCTATATATGTGTAAGAGTAAATATTAGGTTCCACGGGGCTCAACATCTTATATTTTCTTTTGTGCTAACACTCAATCAACAAAGTTATTTTCATAAAAAAGTAATACAAATACGTGTTCTTTAATTAATGACGGGGACTGAAAGATTTGATCTTTTATTGGTGAGTATATTGATCGAAAAACTTAAGGAATTCGGAGACAATGAGGCCACGGTAGATGATGACATTATGAGGACGATGAGGCTCCTGAGGCTGATACTGCACTTATGGCAGTTGATGGTGCCACTGATGTGGCGGTTGGTTGTGATGGTGAAGGCGATGACGATGAAACCTAGAGGCTTAAGGGAGTTTCTCTTTCACTCTTTAGTTCTATTTTTATTTGTGCACTGAGGATATATATGTATTGCCACATGAAAATAGGTATGAAATTTCTTTCTAACCGTACACCTATATATATGTGTGAGAGTAAATATTAGGTTCCACAGGGCTCAACACCTTATATTTTCTTTTGTGCTAACACTCAATCAACAAAGTTATTTTCATTAAAAAAAAATACAAATACGTGTTCTTCGATTGATGATGGGGATTGAAAGATTTGATCTTTTATTGGTGAGTATATTGATCGAAAAGCTTAAGGAATTTGGAGAGTAAACCAACCTCTCAATTTATCCTTTAAAAAACTTACTTTTATATCAAAAATATTTGAATGTTAATTATAGTTAAAACCCCATGATCGAATTGTTGATGAAATTGTTTTTAAGAAATTATATACTCAAACATAGATATAAAGTAGTATCACATAAATTGTAGGAGTATTATTTTTCTTTTACCCAATAAATGTTGATATAATGATATTCCAATAATTTTGTCCAACTTCTCCCTCTGTTTCATTTGTTTTCCTATTTTAACATGGTATGAAGGTTAAGATAAGAAATAAACAAGAATTTTGTATCTTCTGGTTTTAAATTGACATATATATCAAATGTATTAAAATATCTTTTAATATTTTTATATCAAACATGTCACATGGAAAATTGGAATTAAAGACGCTTAAAAGAACTTTTTTTTTTTAAAAAAAAAAAACAAGAAAAATATAAGTAAAATAAATTGAATAGTTGTAAACGTTTATTAGTTTTTTTTGGTTCCTATGGATGTGGGAAAACATGTAAAAAGAAGGATATAATATGGGAAGAAGGTTTGGTGGGAGGATAAGTAGGCAGTTTGTTACGAACAAATCAAGATCTGTATTCAAAGTAAGAGATGCGATCCATAGTATTTGCTTTCTATTTAAACAGTTAGAAATTTGTAATGTGATCCCCACTATACTTTCTTTAATATTGCATTCTGTAAAACGCCTATAGTGAGTTTAAAGGTTGAGTGATGTCTAAGCCAGCAGAGATAGTGTGTTTCGGGGAGATGTTGATCGATTTCGTTCCTGATTCTGCCGGAGTCTCTTTGGCAGAGTCTACAGGCTTTCTGAAAGCCCCCGGAGGTGCGCCTGCCAATGTTGCTTGCGCCATTACCAAACTTGACGGCACCTCTGCCTTCATTGGCAAGGTACCTGCTACTTCAGTCTTTCACTTTTTGCCAACTCAGTATTACCATTTGCAGGGGCGTAGCTACCGTGAGGGTGTTCAATTGGACACATTGGACCCTCTTCGTCAAAAAATAATACCGTATTTATAAGTAAAATGATACACAAATTAATTAAATAACAAATTTTGGACACCCTTGATAGAATAAGGTGTTGTAGCCCAATGATTTTAGATGCCTTGAAAGAGCCCTAAATACTCATGTGTTCGAATCTCGCCAGTGGACACCCTTTGTGAAATTCTTGACTATGCCCCCGGCCATTTGAGGAGTCAAAATTTGTTTATTTATTTATTTTTAATCAGGATTTGTTTAAATATTTCCAATTTGTATTCTAACCTTTATAAGTAGGTTTTATGTATGTAGAATTTGTTCTAAAATTATGAAAACTATATGTCTCACTATCTAAACTACTCATTGGAAAACTGTAAAACACAAATTGGGAAAAAGACATGTGAATCCTTTGAATCTCTCCGACACAACAAAACTTTTCACTTATTTGCAAGTTTTCTATCAAAACTATCATCAAACACACCTCAACTATCAATTGTTAGCTTTGTTTACCCGAAAATACCACCATAGCATGGGTAGGAAAGGAGACAACAGAGAGTTAAGGTGTGTTTTGATAAATATTTAATGATAGTTTAGATAGATAATTCAGTTCAAATATTAAACTCAAACATCCTAATAAGATTAAAATATCTTGGACGTTGGATAAGAAATTTTGAAGATTATTTGTTTTGGAGTAGTAAATATATAAGAGTTAGGTGTGTTTGTGATTGGTTCAGGTGGGAGACGATGAGTTTGGGCGGATGTTGGTAGATATATTGAAGAGTAACGGAGTGAACAGCGAAGGAGTGTTGTTTGACACGCATGCAAGGACAGCTCTAGCGTTTGTGACATTGAAGAGAAATGGAGAGAGGGAATTTATGTTCTACAGGAACCCTAGTGCAGACATGCTGTTGAAGGAGTCTGAGCTCAATTTGGGTCTCATCAAGCAGGCTAAGATCTTTCATTATGGTTCCATTAGCTTAATCACGGAGCCTGTCAGGTCCGCTCACATGGTTGCCATGAAAGCTGCCAAAGATGCAGGTGTCCTACTTTCATATGACCCCAACGTTCGCCTTCCTCTCTGGCCTTCCCCTGAAGCTGCCAGAGAAGGTATCCGAAGCATCTGGAATGAAGCTGATTTCATCAAGGTTTCTCCTCCATATATCTTCTCAATGAGTAAACTATATTATATGTCTATATATAATGAATTAATAAATGTGAATTATTTTATGATTAAAGGTTAGTGATGATGAGGTAAATTTCCTCACACAAAAAGATGCAGACAAGGATGAGACCGTAATGTCGTTATGGCATGACCGCTTGAAGCTTCTTATTGTTACTGATGGAGAGAAGGGATGCAGATACTTCACCAAGGTAACGTGTTAACATTTAGTACCTTTCCATTTTGAATCAAAGTCTGATCATGAAATGTTCCTTAACTATGATGCACAGAGTTTTAAAGGAAAAGTAAGTGGGTTCCCTGTTAAGACTGTTGACACCACAGGAGCCGGAGATGCTTTTGTAGGTTCCCTTTTGGTTTCCATTGCCAAAGATCCATCAATTTTCCAGGTATAAATCTACCGCATTTAATTGAATCCTTCACTTCCATATCTTCCTTTCATTTGATTCCTTATTCAATCATAAAGGTTAGGATTTTTATCTCAACTAAAGGTTTTTTTCTCAGAAGAACTCGTAGTTGAGTGACTTTCTGACAAAAGAACTCATAGTTGAGACCATCTGACATATTATCTTTTAAAATTTCATATATTATTTCACATTTTTACTAGCTATTTTCTTCATTGCTTTAAAATGTTGAGCTTTTTCAAATGACTGTACGCGCTCGTGTAGGATGAAGAGAAATTGAAGAAAGCATTGAAATTTGCAAATGCGTGTGGTGCAATCAGTACAACTCAAAAGGGAGCAATTCCAGCATTGCCATCTACAGCTGATGCTCAAGGACTCATGGCTGGCTCCAAGGCTTACTAAACATTAATTCTTACATAGTTATCATTTTATTTTTAATTCACACCATTTCTCCAAATTAATAAGTTTTGCAGACAATATATTTAAGCTTAAAGCAGTTATTCCTATTCTAATTGCGCGTGCATTTCTGGTTATGTTTTTTCATCGATATGCTTGCTGGAATTAATATTGTTTCCCACGTGGTTTGATACAGTATATAAGAATAATACTAAATAGAGTCTATTAGTAATGCTTATATTAATTATGTTTTCATTAATCATGCCGAAATTTTTTATGCATTGTTTGGTTTGATGTATTAAAAATAACACACTGCATTTGTTTTTAAAAAAAATATTTATTTACATACCCTCCACCAATATATATGGTGGAAAAGATGTAAAAAAAAATAAAGGTTTTAATGGGCAATTAAGTATTTAACAATGCTAATGCATGCATTAAATTCTCTTGCATTACTAATTTCATGAAATTTCATGCATTATAGAGTGTATAAATAATGCAAGCATTAGGTATATATAAATTGAAAAGTATACCAAACTAGATAGATACACAAAGCTAGTGCATACATTATTTCTCCTAATACACTCTACCAAACGACCCCTTATTGTTAATATGAATTGTTTATGAACAATTCATGTCTGTCATATCCTTCATGAGTAAAATTTTCATCTCCAGGGTGTGTTTGGTATGAAGGGAAATATTATCCATGAAAAATATTTTCCTAGAAAATGTTTTCTTGAAAAATAATTTGGTTTCTAACTTATGTTTCTCATGTTTGGTTGGTGGCTAAAAAATTACTTTTCAAAAAATATTTTCTAGTGTTTGGTTGATGAATGAAAAACATTTTCCAAAAAATATCCTTTATTTTTTTCTAGAGAGTAGAAAATATTTTTTTGTAAAATAGTTTCTATGACACGATCCAAAATTGGACCATGATGACACCTACTATAACCCCTTGATAGGCAAGCCAAAAACTCAAAACTTGCGGAAGGTAACAATTTAAAGATAAAGAACAAGCACAAACAGGAATAAAGATAGAAAAATAGGACCATAATATAGAAACGTAAATACTATACACAATATACAAAAAAGGCCTAATAGTGACCAAGAAAGTCACAGTAATACAAGAACCAAACCCCGGACTTAGTGTCACAGCTACAGGAGCATCAAAGTAAAAGAAAATCTATATATACAAGTTTGTCTAATCCAATACAAAAGTATAGATAGGCACAAAAGAAGGAAAAACAATAAACCTTCCGGCGCCAAGAGCTCACCACAATCTGAATTGGAGACGGCCATGAGATCCAACGCTCACTAAGGGTGGCTCATACTAGAAGTTGCATAAAAAATGTAGAAATGTAGTTTGAGTACCACAACACGAGGTACTTAATACATATCATAGGCCGACCGAGCTCAGAAAGATCATATATATATAGAGTACGTAGCACGATAGTTCAAATATTACAATGGAAAAGTTCTAAAATACAATAACCGAGAAAAGAGGGAAAGTCCAACACAAGATAGTGAGCAGGAAACACTTTGGTAAAAGACAATCCCAACACGCACAATAAGCCAGACAACAGGATGATTCGATGCAAGTGATGAATGCTGGAAAGTAGAAGCCTAGAAAAACCTCGAGTCATCCGAAATGATACTTCACACTCATCAACATGTGCAACACAATCAGAGCAAAAGTAAACCATCATACAAACTCATAAGTATTTTTTTCGTTTTAAGTCATAAAAATCCCAAAAATATTGTATTTTCCATCTAAATTCATTTTTCTTTAACTTAAACAGTGATCCGCCCCTTTTAAGCTCAACAAGAAGGGAAAACTTAGTGAAAACCATTTTCATTCCTCAATATCAATGTTCCAAGTATTTTCAAAAATAAACAATTAGTCAAATGCAGGTACCAAAATCTGTTATCATGCCAAAACATACACAACCCAATCAAAATCAGCACATCAACAATCATCTGGGTAACACTTGATACGGCATAGACGTACTAACCTGTAACTCTTGCAACTTCAAACTCACGACCTCAAGCCCTAAAATAAAAAAAAGTAAGGAACTGAACGGCTTGCAAACATAACACAACCACACAATTATTCCAAAACAAAGTAACACGCGGAAACCTAAGTTTCATGCCACTTAGAAGCATTTCTAAACATACTAATTGACACCAAGGACATGGATCCACCTAAAATAAAAAAAATTCCAGCTAAAAATAAAGCTAAGCAACCCGAAATGGCAATATAGTGTCTAAGAACCACGTAAACCTAAAAACTAGCCCTAAAATCTAACCTAACAATCAAAACAACCCAATATTCAAATAAACTAACTTAGATAAGTCTAAAAGAAGTGAAACCATAACCAACCTCGAGGTCAAAACCGCACCTAAACATCTACTCTGGCTCTTTTCTCTTCCGAACGGCCTCCAAGAGATGCCACACCATCAAAAACATATCAAGAACACCAAAACAACCAAAATGATATCCATATCAATATAGGAATTTGAAAACGTAAAAATTACCCTAAAATACAATTGAGGGACTTGGGCTTGGAATCATGAAATTGACTTCGTCACAAGGTCCCAAATAGCTCAAGAAACTTGTGCCCCAAAAATAGACACAATTCGAGCATCAATCAAGCAAAAAAAGTCCCACTAATATTTAAGCTCAAAGTATTCAAAAATGGAGAATTAAGAGAGAAACTTTTGAAACCATACAACTTTAGCGGAAGATTTATCGACCCCGAGGTGTGCCCAGGCAATTCCCCGACACAACCCAACAAATACTACTGAAAATCTCCAAGAATTGCTCTCAAAATTGCCCCAAGACTTAAGTCTTTTAAGAATATGCATGCTGGAAAATGGACTGATATTAACTTATAATTGCAAGCAATTTTACTCTCCGAGAACGCGGAGCCCTATTTGTGAACACAGAGACCTAGGTAGTACACTCCGTGAATGCAGAGGCTAAAGGCAGTACACTTCATGAACGCGGAGCTCCTATAGTGAACACAAAGCTCCTCCCGTGAATGCAGAGGCCAAATAAACCAACAATCCATGAAGGCGGAGAACAATTAGTGCTGCAACATCTCAATATCAAGTGGAGAAAATACCCCTCGGGGGTTCAAGATTCATTCAAAGTTCCATGAATGCAAACAAACTATGCTACCTAGCCAAAATTGACATTCTGAACTCAACAGAATTAAGGAAATCACAAACAAAGGTCGTCTCATCAGAATGTTGATCCAAGTCAACACTTACAAGACAAACACACAACAAAATGAATAATGCCACAAAATCATCTTGATAGCCTTGGGATCCAAACCAAAGGTCGTTCTAGACCACACTTTGCATTCCGAAGCTAACTGCACTGATAAAATTTTCATTCAAGCCTTTTTACCAAGAATGTTGACTGAAGTCAAACTTTCAAAGTTATCTCATCTACTGACTCAATTTCACGCTGAGGCCTTGGGATCCGAACTAACCATCCTACTAGACCAACATGGACTCTCTAGACCCGATTGATGTGAGACAAAAATATATATTTTAATCATTATTTGCTTCACATTTATTATTTATATCTGTCATTTTTTAGCATAAATTTTATGGATTGTGTTAAATAGTGTATTTTATTTGTAGGAGTAAATTGGTGTAAAGTTGAAAGAATTTAGAGCTAAAATAAATTAACGATGAAAATTTATAGAAGGAAATCAATCAGACAGCTTAATGAAATAAATTCAATATAATAATGTATAATGAAAAGTGCAGCATTCAGCGAAATTGAAAGAATCAAGCTGCCACGTGGCAGACTTTGAGTGCATCAGTGCGTCTAGCACCAAACGGACATAGTTTCACGCGTACAACAATTCCGATCTGTTTGGGTTTTGATTTCCCAATTTATTTTGAATTCAGTTATTTTATTTAGGATTTTCTATATCTATAAATAGTCCATAAAAATAATTATTTGAGAGAAGATCAATTAGGAGGTACTTTGCAAGAAAAAATTGTCAATACTTTTTAGGAATTTTTTTTTCTTCTTTCTTTTCTTAGAGATTAGTGGCTAAATGCCCTTGTTTTGGAGCTTTAGCAACGAATCGAATGTTAAATATTTAAGGTTTATGAATTAATTCTTGGTTGTCATTATAAGTTGCTTCTATATTCTTGTTTTAGTATTTTATGCTTGCGCACCATAAGATAAATCTATTGTCTAATTTAAAAATCGAGAGAGGAGAGATTAGATAGACCAACGAATATAGAGAGCTTGATCAACCCATTAAGTTGAGGTGATTTGTGTTCAGGAGTGACGCCCGGACGAACAACTCGCTTGGTTACGAAACATGATGAAATACAAATGTTCATTAGTTAGTCTATTTATCCCCGCTCAACGATGTAGTTAGACAGCTAATAGGAGTAGGCGACTAGATGTGTGTAACCTGACTCATACAATTAACCCTGTAAACCAGTAACTTGACAACTAAAATTAGTTCTAAGCCGATAATATGATACATGAGATTCATTACATGCTACAGCCCTGAATTTTCAAATCACTGTAAGTAATTTTATTATTTTATTCCTGCATTCTTTTCTTTTGGCACTCTTAAATAAATAATTAGACCAGTATAATTTAATAAAAATAGTTAATTGACAAGTCCTTTGGGTTCGATAATATGGTTCTTTTAAGAGTCACTATATTACTTGAGCGACCACGTAAACTTGCGTGTGCAATTGGGAGCAACAATTTTTTGGCGCCGCTGCCAGGGACTTAGAAATTAATTATTCTTCTAGGTTATACTTTTTCTTTTTATTTTTTATTTTATTTTATTTTTCTTTTTTTAATTAGTTTTTTTCTTTCAACAATTATCATTTTTCTTTCTTTGAATAATTTGGTACTCTTATTCATATGAATGATTGGGATAAATCGTGGTTGGGTGATGAATGTCTTTCATGTCATATATGTGGTCGTCAATATATTCATTGGAATGGTTCCTCTGAATCTTATTCCCTTCCCCCGAACCC